TATTTATGTGGGGCACCACCGTTTTATGTGTGATATATAGCACCATATTTTCCGTACATATTATTTATTTCTTGTATATCGCTTGATTTCATTCTGCCGTGCGACCAGTTCCAGGTGGGGAAAACAATAAGGGCCAATTCATCGGCATCCGATTGGTTGTACACCAACCGGTTGTTTGTTTTATGCCGCCCAACCGTAAACTTAATGGTTGCGACAAGTCCAACCGGTTGTGTGTTGTTCGCGTTTCTTCCTTTTATGTAGGGCGGATCTGCGCCGTCTCCCTCGCGTGCTTTCTGCATTTTCGAGGTTGACCGTCTCGCTCACTCCTTATTGATGCGTTTTTCCGAAGGGCCAAGAAGAAGGAGGACCTGGAAGGCGAGGCGCTCACGCGGTGGCTTGTAGCCTGTTCCGAAAAGATGTTCAAAGCCGTGCTCGAGGTCATCGATGACTCTCCCAGGTACAACTTGTTCACTTTATTACATTTCTTTATTATGTTTACACATTGTTTATATACTTATATGTTTGTGAAACGCACACAGCCTGGTCAAGAGGGCCATCAAGCACCTGTACCTGGCGGCCAAAGAGCGCTTCCCGGCTTTCGAATTTCGCGCGGTGGGCGCGCTCGTCGGACTCCGCTGCTACTGTCCGGCCATCGTCTCACCGGAGCTGTACAACCTCGTGAAGCCCGGTGCGTGCGCCCCAACAGTCCTCTGCGCGTGCCTTGTGTGCGTGTGCTTACGCGTGCACTGTGTGTCGTGTGTCGTGTGTGACGTGGCGTGTGTGTCGTGTTGTGTAGGCAAGGAGATTTCGATCGTGGCGCGGAAGGCGCTGGTGAAGATCGCCAAGCTGCTGCAGAACGTGTTCAACGAGACGGGCGTGGAGGAGGACGCCACCTCGCCGGAGCTCTCCCAGAACTTCATTCGCAGCTGCATCCCCAAATTCCACTCCACCATTTTCATGATCACCGTACGTCCTCCACACGCCGTGTGCGTGTGCGTGTGCGTGCGGCGGCTTCTAAACGGGGTTTGCGCGTCAACAGGAGGGCCGTCGTCTGAGCGATTCGGATATTAATGGCAGCGGCAACCTGCCCGGCAGCATCGGCCAGGCCCAGGACGCCGATGGCGAGCCCACGTCGCCCTCGGCCTTGTCGAGCGGGATGAAGTCGCTCGGCCGCAAGTCGCTCTTCTCCACCAAGAAGCGAACCAAGTTCAGCACCGGCGGCGGCAGCAGCGGCGGCGGCGGCGTAAGCGGTGGCCGACGCCGAAC